AGAGAGCCGTGATTATGCCCAAAAGTTGATGAAGGTTGTATGGCTAGAATGAACTGCCCAGTTATCGTCCTTGAACGAATGAACATCAGCGTTTCTGCTAGTATCCTGCATTCCTCTATAATTGCACATCTAGGATCATTTTCGGGCTCACTGTTCGGAAGGCGTTTATTCGAACTCCTCCCAATGCTCTCATCGAATCTCGATGGGAAAGTCTTAGTTCGGATATGACCAAGATTGAAAGGAATCAACTCGACCAGCATTATACGAAATTCATGAAAGAAAAAATTCTCAAGCAGCAGGTGAAGCAACCCGCGAAGTGTTGGAAGGCTTTTGCAGAAGATGAACACGAGGGAAAACATAACGGAAGCAGGAAATACTGCGATTGGTACTGTAGATGTGAGGCTGGGTAATGCAAAGTGCAAAGTGTAAAATAGAAATTGCATTGATCTACATATCATCTGTACTTATGTCGAAGATGTATATAAGTACTCACCAATTTTCATTTCGAATACAGTACAAATACCTGTTCCAGTGCGATGCAAACAAGTTCTTCTCTACGTTCGTGTGCGGTTTATTATGTCTGTTTCTATTTGTCGTAACCACTGAAATTAAATGCATGCGATATGGCCGTCATGTTGTGAAGAAGAGACCCTTGTTATGTAAATGCAATGTACAGTCTCAATGACAACCACCACTGGAAAATTCATACACACTGGAAATGAGTTTAGGCCTTCTTATAAGACCTAAAGCACTGTCAAGTCACAACAACACAAAGTTACTTGTGATAACCGCTGTAACTAAGACCATTAAGAGAATGCCTAGAGGTCTTTTTATCTTAGGAAAGGTTTCGAAATCAATCAACCGGCAGGAACCTATTTTCCGATGGGCTATGGTATCTTAGCTCAGGCGTCAAATATCGTGTCAATTACTCGAGAGGAACAAGCGAAGACATCACCGAGGTCAAGTTGTCCTGTCATCATTGAGCTTTCTTCTCTTGACAACTGACGCCTTTTAGACAATTTTTTCCTTTCTCCAATTTCCTCTCTTATGAAGTTTATTTGCGATTGAAATCCTGTAGAGAACCTGCCAGATTACCTCTATCAAGGCTAGTGCACGGTAGTACCTAGTGAGCAATGCCGATCACAAGATAGCGGGAAGTTCAATATTCCATCAAATTGAAGATTTTTGCACTTTTAGCAGCATGACTCACACTGTGAACACGTTTTCTACTCCAGTTTTCTCTGTGACGCTTCATGGTTTTTTTTGTTGTTTAATTTTCATAACGCCTCAACATATTTTAGGAAGTGTGCCTTCGCTATTTTATGTTAATTTGGGTTTTCAACTTTAAGACAACATATTCTAACTCGTAGTGAATTTTACCAGTTGGAATTAGAAAAAGTGCAATTTGCAGATCGTAGCTAGGTCTTCTTCTTCTGTCATGATGGGATTTTGTTGTTCTGAAGCCCACAAACCGTATTTTTTCGTCGTTTTCGTTTTAGTCTTGTTCATCGATCTGCAGCAACGAAGTGGTCGAACAAACCGGATTCCGTCCACCTGAACTCCTCGATGCCCACTGAGAGCGTCATTGATATTTGTTGGGCTATCCTATGAGTTCTATTCTGCGACTAGTTTTTTCGCTACCAAAAAATGATGATTGCGAAAGTTTATCACTTTGACTTACCCCCTGGTATTGCCCATTATGTTTTTATTTTTTGACAGATTCACCGAACTGTTCAATGTCAGTAATTCTGTTTTCGAAAGGAGTTTTCGTTTTCGAAAAACACGACGTTGTTATCACAATATTTATTCACAATCGCTGACGTATCGGTGGCTTTGTCATCTGTTGAATGTTCTGACGATGACTGCCTTGCACTCAGAAGTTGCTTGTGAAAATCAAACAACGTGTTACTGACCTCGTGCCTTGACCTTGTTTAATTGACCTTTGACCAAAAAGAAAACGCAGTAAATAAAAAGTATTGCTCAGCTTTACTGGGTTCAATGCTTATTTGTGCCTCCAGGTCACTCCCGTTGACGGGTGATTGCTGATAGCACCTATGGGTTACAATGAGGTTGAGAAAAATGACAAACAAAGCACCCGCATGGTGAGGTGGCGTACACGCTAGCCGCCGTAAAGGGTAATACCGGTTTCGATCCCAACCGCTTACACCTGCGGTCCGGAGCATTGCAAATATCTTAGCATTATTTTGGTTATATTTCACATCACACCATCCTATGAAAAATATTAGACATCAAATAAAAAGTGCTACATAATGATTTATTACATCGCTATTTGCCAAAATTTGCTATATAGGCCAAATGTGCATCGAATTATCCCTAAGACGCCCACGAAAATCTAATGTATTGCGCAACCCGAAGGGATTGATCAATGACCGATAGTTTATTTCTTATCATTATTCACGACATTAGTTCCTTGTTTTCTATCCTTTTCACGGAATGCATTCATAGATGTGAAACGTTTGATGACGTAATAGATAGATTAAGCTTAAGTCCTTCTAATAATGATCTAATATAATAAGTCCTTCTAATGATTGTTGTGAACAGTTCAATTAGAAGTTCCAATTTCTTCTACTCGGAGGTTCCACGTAATTTTCTAGAATCTCCCGTTAAATCGATGAAATAAAGTAAAATAAAATTATAAGGAAGCTTGCAATCTGTAGTCTTGAGCGACAGCACCCATCAAACGTGTGTTACACTTTCTAGTGATTGGCTCATCCGTACTACAAACCTGCTTTCGCTTTTCTCATCAATCGACTTCAGACACATATCGTCATCCTGTCAGCCAACATGATAGGGTAGTTGATAAGCCTCTAATGAAGTCTCTCGATTCTTTTTTTTGAGCAGTCGGCTGCACGTACGCATTAGAACTATTGCTTCTTTGTAGTAACGTGTTCAACTTTGCATTAACTTGGGCAAAGTTCATTTAAACACAACAGTAGCCGCTTTTCTTCGTTATGCCATAGAATGTATAAATGAGATGAATAAGTAAATTCTAAAATTTTCATCTAGATTGGAAAATCGAGCAAACCATTTAAGACCAAGAACTATTTAAAGTTTGAGCGCTAGCCTTTTCCAAGGCTATTAACGGCCTCAATGAAAACACTAGGAAGAAAAAGAAAGTAACAGATTGTTTTGAATCCGACAATATTCTCTTGCCATTGAAGGAAGCGTTGGCATAAGTTGGTAGTAAAAAAGTAGAAGTAAATATTTTCGTACAATGCCGTCAGAAACCCTCATTTTGTCGCTTTGTCATTTTGTCATTTTTCGAATTGCAGCGCATCCAATGATTCATAGGATAAGCGCGTGAGGGTTACCGGATGTGATGAAATGCAACACTTCGAGTATTCATGTTGGATTTCAACGGTGTAAATCGGTTTCGCCGCCGCAACGCCCGGATCCGTAACGGGCAAAAGAACACAGAGGTCGCCATTCTGTCACAATTTTGTGACAGCTTTTGCTATGAGGATTTGTCAGTGGCGAGCAGATTCATATGATTGACGTATCTTTTGCCACAAGAGACGACGTCGAGTGACAGTCGCACAGGCGTGAACCGCCTGATAGCGGCGAGCATCAGTGAGAGTAAGAGATGACAATGGTCCCCTCGCTGAGCAACCCTCCTCTCGAGATCCACTCACAATTAGCTTTTCGGGAAACTAGACCCTTTCGTCGAGAGCGTACGAATCCGAAGCAAAATAACCTAAGTGGAACTCATTTCTTTGTTAGTGACCGGTTCTAGGGTCGAACTTTAAGCCATCTGTTTCAAATAGGTCGAGCATTTTCCATTTAAAACGCAGATTCTTAATACTGCCATGTGTTAAAATCATTGCCCGCCCATCGTTGTCCAAGCGTGGTAGCGTCTCTTTTATTTCAGCTGCTTCTGCAACTTGGAGGTTTGTTTAAATTACTGTGCTATCTGTGCTTTTTTGAAATCGTAATTGGTTGCTAGAAAATCTCTTAATTAGTGTGGTATTGACATGTTACGGATGGCAGTGATTGATAGCGCAGTGGTCAGTGGGTGCCCCAAGACTGCAAGGAGAATTCAACCAACCCGCATTTTACGGCATTCATTAACAAAAAGAAATCATCAAGCATGGCCAAAAAATATGTGGATTCTTCGAAAAGCTTTGTGGAGGATGAAAGCAGGAAAACGATCCGATTGCAAGAGGTGCTAGGATCCTAACAGTAGGCGCGATTACCGGCCATGTGAAATAAATTTATAAGACATCTTTTAGGTTTCAATCTTTCCAAATCTTTTTTGCCTTATAATTACAATCTCTTTATCGTTCCATGAGCTGAGTGTAGCGCAATGGTTAAAGATGCTTTGCAATACACAAGTGTCTTTGGTTCGCTCCAGCGCCTTCAAGGTTCACAAAGCCTTCCATCCCTTCGGGGTCAACGAATTAGTAGAAGATTTGTCTCGGAGGTAGCAGCACTGATTTGATACATCGATAGTCATTGTATAAGGTAAATACGCATCTAATCACCTCTAACATTTCTTGATGTAGTCGAATGCATAGAACTTCTTTCAGAAAGTTATCAACACTGAGAAGTTCATCCCTTAACTTTTTTATCCTTCGACGTTTTTTTTTTGGAGATGAAAGCGAGGCTCCCATAGCCTTGACTTTTGTTTCCTATGATATAATCTCCATCACTATCTGACATATGTTTTCTATGCTCACAATTCTTTAAGTGATATGCCGCGAGATTGTACTTTCTGTTCTGAGTGTGATTCACTGTCTATAGTTTTCCTCCTCTTCCTCTTCTTTCCTTCCTTGTTCTTTCTCCTTTTCTCGTGCCTCCTCTTTCTAATCGTGAGCAACGTGACCTGCCCAATATCAGAAAAAATATGTGTCATTATTTAGCTAAGTTTTCTTTAAAGTCAGCATAGATAACTTCGAGGGAAGAAAGCTGGTCGGTGAAAACCGATCAATTCAAATACTATTTTTTATGTTAGGCAAATAGACTTTATTTAATTCCAGGAAATGATGCTGTTAGTTGTAATGCTTTTGGTTCTGACTCCTGCAAATGCCGACTGGTGGGATTCTTTGACTAACACTGTTAGTGACGGATTTATGTCAATAGGAAAATGGGTCAAAGAAACAGCCAGTCCGACAGTCAGGTTAGCCTAAAACAAAATTATATTTTATCCAAAATTAATCGTTTTCTGGAATTTGTGCAGTAATTGCTGGAGATTCAGGAAAAAATTCAACAACGTTAAAGAGGTTTTGCAAGATCCTAGAACTCATCAGCGAATTAGGGAGTTTGTATCTGAGGTAAAATCGTTTCGTTATTTAGATTAGGATATTTACCGCCTAGATGACCCGTCTTTGCATTTCGTACGGATTCCAGCATCTGCATTCTTCTCTTTGCCTCACAGCCGTCCTCTGCCGACGTGGTGAAGGTCGCGTGTGGTTTTGACTGCGGCTTGAGGATCTGCGGAATTTTTTTCATTAACGTGTTATATGCTGATCAGCCGTGATTTTCACTTAGATGGTAGCACTAGGACGTTCTCATGTTGTCGCTACAGGCATACGATTATCTTCATGGATCTAAGACTGGTAGGCGGTTGGTTTCTGTGACGTCTGCGAATCTTACGATCAGTCGATCAATCCAGAAAGATGTAGTAAACCGGATAGACTTGTTTCTCTATGTCGTTTCTATTAATTTTAGTAGAGCGATGGAAATAAATTGGTTTGAAACGCTAATAATTAAACAACAAGCGCGAGATTACTGGTGCTACCTTGCTCACTGCCAACTAAGCATTACATCTTTATGAGGAACCGAACTGATACCAGATTTGCTCTGGAAGACGCTGAACCAGTGAGGATAGCGACAAAGCAAAAAGTTGAAAACGTTCTGGCATTGCAATCCCAAGATTTCAAGGATAATCTCGCTCGATCAGCACTCAAGCCATTCGTTCAGAAGAGTAAATATTTAAGCAGCATTCGAATATTTTTATATAATTATTTTAAATTGTCAGATTAAAAGCCTTTTTTGGAGATCCATCACATTTCAAACTCCTCAGTTATTGCAGTCATCGAAAAAGTAATAGCGCTTTGCGAAAGGCGAGGTTCAGACTCTGTGTTGGTGATGCCGAGTGAATAGCGCACCCTTCAGGGATCGATCAACATCGGAAGCTTTGTAGTTTTTCTGTCTCCCATATCAGAGGTGAACATATAAACATGATTACTTAAATAGCGGTGGATTTTCCTTTGACTACCGTCGTCAAGAGGTCAAAGAACGATGCTGTTCCTTTCTCTTCAACTAATGAGTTCTTATGAAGAATAGACTCTTCTTGCTGACTCATCTTCTACTCATTTTGTTCAGAGTCTCCAAACTTTTCGTTAAAACTCAATTTCAGTGGTTCCAAGACGTAAAATGAAGTGACTTTTTTGCAATATTGACAACGAAATAATCTTAATGATGCTGAGATATTTGCAAAACTCCGAACCACTGTTGTCAGCGGTGGCAACAATTGACAGTAAGTACCCTTTTATTGATAATCTAACAAGAGTTTGATAAGCAATCTGATTCGGCTAATGTTTCTATATCTTCGTCTTCGTCAAAGCTGATATTCTGAGTCCACCGGCCTTCGTATTCTCGATGTGGTGTCTTCTTCGTCGCATCAAGTCGGATCTTCTTCAGTGGAGCACCCTTCAATGAGGCAACCTCGCCCGCAGATGATCGATGATCTTTTATACAGTATCGTTGTTGAAATATTAACAACAGCTTTATGTACAGAGCGCTCCCCTCGCATCTCATTCTTTTCTCCACCACGACGTCGTCCTTAAGTTGATTCGCTATGATCGTCCAAAAGAAGCTAAAGGCACTTCGGAGAGCTTCCGTCGTGGACATCATCCCTACAACAGCTGTGCACATTAGTGGACAATGTCCTTCGTGTTTTGTAGTAATTCCTACGACCGACTTTCTATTAACCTCGGCATTGACCTCCACTGTTTTCTTGATGGGCAAACCGTATTGCTCACCAAGAGAACAGTGATTGTCTTTCACTTGTTGCAAAGGTGTTAATACAGTTCTGAATCCGTGATTTTCTATATGATGCAAGGTTTCACTGCATTTATCAGATCATATTATCATCATATGCCTGACGCTTCACATTTGTCCTTCATTTTTGAGATTCTCTGATATCCAGTACAGTCGTCCCACTTTTCATCGTAGTTCTAGTTTCTGTGCCTTTGTGAAAAATTTTCATCGTTACTTTCGAAAAGTTCTTCTGAGTACAGGCACTGCTGATTTCCATCCTTTTACTAGGAATGGCCCCTATAAACCATAGAAGTGATTTACATCCACAATAGGTACTCCAAGACTATTGCTGTCTCAACTAAGCAAAGAGTTGCCATAGATCGGGTTATGTACATATTTTCATGCAATGGTCTATTTTTCTTCGAGAACAGATTTGGAAGCAGTGGTGTTCTGGCTTCCTTCGAAAAGATATTTGGAAATCATAGCGGAAATTGTAGTTTTTCACCCTGTGGGGCCGATAGCACAGTAGTACTGATGTCCGTCATCACAAGCATGGTGCTAGTGTGATTCCGCTCTGTGCCAATCAAGCCTCTCATCCCTTCTAGGTCGGAAAATTGGTACCGGACATGTCTGGGAAAAAATCACTCTTTGCAACCCAATTGGAAACACTCCAGTTCGGCTATCTCAGGACTCCAGGAAGAATTGCTAGGCCTGCATTCTACGATATTCAAGATGAAATGAAAATCCTCAAGCAGCAGCCGAAGCCACATGTGAAAGTTGGAAGATCTTCGTGGACAATGGATGCGAGGAAACGAATTGAATGTGAAAGTTGCCTGGGATCCGCACAGTAGACGTATTGAATACGGATCATATTAAAGAAAAAATTTGTTAGTCTTCAGTATACAAATGAACACTGGTAAAAGTTAAAGTTTTGCTATAGTGCAGCGCAAGGCAATCAGAATGTATTCAAGTTGTTTAATCTGCTCTAAAAAAGATCTTTAGCCTCACTTAAACTTTATTATTTTAGAAAGCCGAGCAAGCATCTGATTTTGCTAACAGAGAAATTATTCCGGAAGTAAAGAAGATTTACGATGCTGCCACAGCAGGCGACGACAAGTTATCTACGGATCGTTTCGTTGAACCTGTACACGACTGACTTCTCCCGTTGTCAAATATGTGCTTCTGCTTTACTATTTTAAAAACATGCACAGCTTTACACGAGTATTCGTGGTCTCTTACGTTAATGTGATGACGAAATGAATCTTCAACGGAAAGCTTCCTTAGATTTCTACGAAAATAATGTGAATAACTGTGAAAAACGGATTTTGTCGCAGAAATAGCCTCTCGCCTCTCCACTTGTTCTCTAAAATCAAAGTAAAGAAAGGAACGAAAATAAAGAGGAAGTGCACTGCACTGTATGCCATGTCATTCTAAAGAGTTTTGAAGGACATAATAAATTTAGGCGGTGGAACCTCTCTATTGGCATCATAACATTCTATAAGCAATCCGCATATTTTTGAGAATAGTAGTAATATTTTAGTTCTATCTAGTTGATTTGCCGACCATACGACCATTTTCCCCTCACAACGAAAAGATTCCGAATGGGCGGTCGTTTATGGCACAGAATTCTCATCACATAGAAGATGAACTCACACAGCAAAGCTCTGCAGAGTGCACACGTGCACATTACATGTACATCCTTGTATCGAGTTTTTTACTTTTTTACTCAGCGACAGTGTTTGAAAAGCAATGTACCATAGGCGGTAACATAAACGTTCAGTATGTCCGATGCACCTTAGACTAAGCCTTCCATCACCACTCGTTTTGCAAGTTAGTACTGAACTTGCCGGGGAAGAGAGGTAGCACTGACTTGGTGCATCAGCAGGTCATTGAGTGACACTGAATAGTCCAGATATGCGTTCAATCACCTTTAACCATTCTTGATGAAATCGGGTGCACTGTGTATCCCTCAGCCCCTGATCAACATTAAGAGCCCTATTGTTTTTATCCGTTATGTTCTTCACCTGGTTTTCACACGGAACTGCGTTTTTTACTTCTCGTATTCCAAAGTGCTCCGCATTTAAATGCTGCTCCATGCAGTGATGAGTTATCAACGTGGGCACTTCGAATCACTGATCGTATTGTTTTCCATCTTTTGCTTCAAGAATCCCTCTACGGTAAAGTTAAATAGCTTTAAGTGAACTTTTTCGTAGAGGACATTGATCCTTACCAAGGTATTGCCGTCAAATCGAATTTAGATACTGGCTTGTTTTCGCTCAATGCGCCCAGTTTTGCTAATAGATTACGTTTGGGTTCTTCTATTTCAAATGAACGACGGCTTTCCTTAAAACATCACCATGCTGTTTTGCTTTTTGGTTTTGCATTTTTATAATGAATACTGGAATAGATGATCGTTTGTCCTCCCCAGGCAATCAATCTTGGGAAAATTTCAGTTTCGCCGCAGTGTTGTTATTCGGAATTTCAATGTAGGATAATTCAGCCGTCGACTTTTTTGGAACTTTGAGCGATTTCTACTTTAAAATTTATATTTTTTATACGATTACAAGCCACGATCTCTGCAATAAACCGTGAGTATTGATAGGAATTCCGTGCATTGCTTCAGTTCGTTTGCTTTGGTCACAACGGTTATTCGTTGTCCTTTAAGAAAATTTTAGCTCCGTAAATTAAGATTCCCTTTGACAAGCGATTGGAGAGATGGGTGAAAACTAGTCCAAGATTTACAATTCCCAGTACCAACTTTTTATTAATCTCGGAACTGAGCACACAATAACTGGCGTTTAGGCGGTTTCCCCTTCTTCATAGCCTGGAAACGTCGAATTGACGTGCAATCTAGTCATCCAAACATTTTCATAACGCAGCACGTAAATCATAGCGTATAAATTTTTATTAGCATAGTAAACAGCTTCTGAAAATCTTCCATCCACCGTCCATCAGCTTTCAAGCTTAAACCGTTTCAGTTTATCTGATCTCTTGTAAATCTTATAACCTGACCTAGTCTGTAAACAGTAAACTTAACGCTAAGCCAAGCACTCCACTAGGTGCCCATATTTTGAAGTAAAACGCACCACTGCCTTCGTTTAAAAACTGGAAACATCAGAGCATAAACATTTCAAAGAGTTTCTGACAAATTCTAAAGAACCAATAATAAATAGCAATCAGGAATGCCCTGCGATCAAGCATGACTTCGTGTTAATTCTATGACCTGACCCAGGCACATTCCTCGCTCATGCATTACTCTGTGCTGCTGTTGTCCACCAATTAACTAGAATTCCTACAACGGATAAAACGATTGTTGTTTTAAAGAAGCAGATAAACATTTATGCGTTTTTTAATTAACTTATTAAGTTTTGTCTGTTATGGTTGTGAAAGTGCTTGGCTGATTAGACTGCATGGCAATTTGACCCTTCCAGGCTATGAAGAAGGCGAAACCGTTGAAACGTCAGCTACTGTGTGCTAATGAATTCCGTAGTACCAACCTTGTGTTTGCTCATTGAAAAAAAACGGTGAGGTGTTTGAAATTCCATTAATTCAGATGTTGTCAACTTTGCTAATAATTTTATTGCTATTTTCGCCGATCAGCTCGTGCTCGCTGTACTAGGACGACCATACTTCCCTTTCATATCATTCCCTTCTTTCAGGCCTTAAAACTCTATGACCTGGGCAACTGTCGGTGGAGTGCTCATGACAATACTACGGTAATTACACCGTCTCCCGTCGTGGATATGCTTTCGCATAGTCCAAGGAACAAATTTCGTTCTAAAGAACAATTTTAAAGAACTTAATCGATGAACACGAAATATATGACAATGAATGCACAGA